TCAGAGATGAACGTAGGACAGCGGGAATTTATTATTTAATTCGCTAGGAATTAGTTAATTAGAAATAATTAGTAGTTCTTTTTCTGATTCCGTGTCTAATTGTATAACTTGGGTTTCTGGAGTTATCAGCGACCTTAATTCCTCGTTTAAAATCTCGCAGTGGCTCTCCATTGCCCCGGAGACTTGCCTGTATCGTAACCGTCATCTCTCACTAGTCGTTTCCTCACTCTTTCTGCGCCAGGTATCTCAACTTCTCTGTCTTCCTCGCCTCCCTTTGTCTTATTTTCTCCGCCTGAAGTTTAGCCATTTGTATTAATATTTACCTTTCGGGCTTCCAGTTTCCTTGAGAAGTCTAGGTCAGACACTGCTTTAGGCCTTTGTGGTCAGTATGGTAAAGCGAAAATGATTTATTTCACCTCTGCATTCCTCTAGATTCTCTAGATGACATGTTAATCTTTCCTTTTACGTGTGGATTACCTGTGTCTCCGTTTCATTATCTTTCCCGTGAATCAGGATGCAACCGCGCAGACTCCTACTTCCCACTCTTAATAGGTCCCTCCTCCTAGGTCCCTGTCTGGAGAACAGGGCCAACTTTAAGGTAACTTTAAGGTTCATACTCTGGCTGGAATCCTGACACCTCCAGAGTCGACCTTAGAGGAAACCAGACCAGAATGACTTCATATGAGTGAATTAATTTCTCCCTGTGGCATTCATAAAATATTTATCAACCTATAATTCACAAGTATCTGATTTTAAAAGGGACATCTGATGGGGGATGGGAGAGTGGGGACGGTGGGTGATGGGTATTGAAGAGGGCATTTTTTGGGATGAGCACTGGGTGTTGTATGGAAACCAATTTGACAATAAATTTCATTTAAATAAATAAATAAAAATAAAAGGCACATCTCCTCTGCAGTAGGGGCTGGGGAGAATGCTATCAGTTATTCTTCTCTGAACATTGTTAAAGAGAAAAACCACAGGCCAAAAATGGTGTCGTTTAGTTAAGCCGGCAAGTCAGTAAACCAAGAATTAACACCTAGCCCCCCCCCCCCCCAATGGAACCTATAACCAGTCAATGCAGAAATTTCCTGGTCAGCATTGAGACATTTACTGATAGACCCTATCCGTTCCCCTTAGGAGGGCAACCTTGCCTAAAACAATGGATTCTTAGCTAATAATTTCCTTTTTTCAACTCTCTACCTTTAAAAACCTTTCCTTTTCTGTAGCCCTTTGGAACTCCCCATACTTGCTAGAGGGGATGCTGCCTGATTCCTAAGTTGATTAGATCTTTCAAATTTACTCGGCTGAATTTTTGTTATTTACCAACATAAATTTGTTTAACCAGCTTTCTAAAATGTAGCGAATTTAAACCAGCTCTGAGGAATTGGGAGAATGTTTTGGAAGTAGGTCTTCAATAACTCGATATGTTGTGATACGGGCAATAACTAATTGTGAATTCCTTTTTACTGCGTGGCCAAGAGACTCTTCTTCTCTGGGCCATTCTTACACTAGGAAAGTGTGAATACTCATGAAATGTTTATGTATATGTATATGTAGCCATTAGTCTCCAAAGATGGCCCTCCAGCAGTCTTCTCTTTTTATACATATGTTGCTCCCTACATCAAGAGGTGAAGCTTATTTCCTGTCCCATGTACCCTTCCCTCTCTTGAATCTGAGCTGGCTTTGTGACTACCTTTGACCAATAGAATGTAGCAGAAGTGACATTCTGGAACTTCTGTAGAACACCAGGTCTTAAAACCGGCAACTTTTGGGGCGCCTGGGTGGCGCAGTCGGTTAAGCATCCGACTTCAGCCAGGTCACAATCTCGCGGTCCGTGGGTTCGAGCCCCGCATCGGGCTCTGGGCTGATGGCTCAGAGCCTGGAGCCTGTTTCCGATTCTGTGTCTCCCTCTCTCTCTGCCCCTCCCCCGTTCATGCTCTGTCTCTCTCTGTCCCAAAAATAAATAAAAAACGTTGAAAAAAAAATTAAAAAAAAAAAAAAACGGCAACTTTCACTTCCTGCTTCTTGTCTAGTTACCATGCGATGAAAACCCCATGGCACAAGGAGGTGTACTGGGATAGACCCACGTGAGCTCTCGTCTGACAGCACCGATTGCCGACGATGTGAATAAGACATCTCGAATGTCCAGATGTCCACAGTTTCTGCCAGTGTCAGCTGAAGCAGAGATTTGCCCTGCTAAACCCAGTTAACCCGAAGAATCATTGAAGATGATAAGATGGCTGTTGTGTGGGAATAATTCCACTAAGTTTTGGAATTACTGTGCAGCAACAAAACACCGAATCAGTCTGGAAAAGTTTGTAGAGACGATTTAGCCAAATTTCTCGGTTTTGCAGCTTTAGAAAATCTTTCTATTCCTAGTTACAGGGCTACAACCCCGAAACCCTACAGCAGAGACCAGGCAGGTAACAGAAGAATAAATCAGGCCAGGTGAGCGGCTACTTCCCGCAAAGGAGCTGGATGCTTTCGGCTCAGTCTCATTGGTGTGAAGTCGGCACGTGGACCCAGTGTTGCCAGAGCTTCTGATTTTTCAGTAGTTGTAAATCCAGCATTTTTATGCAGTGCCCTGGCTTTTCAACGTTAGCAATCGAGTTAAAAACAATAAATTACCAAACAGAACACTTCTGTTGGCCTTACGTAGCTTAGGGTTGCGAATGTGTGAACTGCGTCCCGGAGGACTTTGCAGGCAATGTCCCATTTGACCTTCGCCACAATCCTATGAGGTAGTACTGATTTTTCCCACTTAGAAATGTGGGGATAATCTCAGAATAGCTCCATGGGTTAGTCAACATTATTAACTGGTCTGTGGAAAACCGGTATTTGGCCTCAGGCAATCTGACTCCAAAGCATATTAAATCATTTTTACAGTTACAGCAGAAAAAGGATTTTTATTAAAAAGATGCTGGGTGGGGCGCCTGGGTAGCTCAGTCGGTTGAGCGACCGACTTCGGCTCAGGTCATGATCTCACGGTTTGCGAGTTCGAGCCCTGCGTCGGGCTCTGTGCTGAGCGCTCAGAGCCCAGAACCTGCTTCTGATTTTGTCTCTCTCTCTCTCTCTCTCTCTGCCGCTCCCCCGTTCATGCTCTGTCTCTCTCTGTCTCAGAAATAAATAAACATTAAAAAAAAAAAGATGCTGGATAATTTTCAGAATTTCCTAGTAAGGCAAGAGACCAGGCTCAGAAACCTCACCCACTATCCTTCCCCAGATCTGATCCAGTGAAAACACCACCAGGCATAATTGCTACAGCTTCACAATGCAGACACAATGACCATGGACAGGGACTGGGCGCCAGCACCAAAGCTGCTGCTCCGGGACACTGGTTTTGGCTGGTTTCTCTGCTCTCACTTGTGCCCGAATGGATGAAGTATTTTCCTAAGAGTCCCATTCTGGGGTGAGTACTTCTGATGAGCATGGCCTGGGTCATGTCCCCCTGTTTTGGTCAAGGGTGGCTGGGAAAAGCGAGTATTTTATCATTCTTTGAATTTTTAGTGAGCATCTGCCATGAGTCAGTCACTCTTCCAAATGCTGAGGAAGCAAAAGCAAGCGGAGTAGGTAAAGCTTTGATACTCAGTGAAGTTTCCGTTCTAGAAAGGGGAAGACAGACAATAATCCGGTAAAGCAAAACTTACCAAATGGTGATGAGTGCTATGGAGAAAAGTAAAACTGGGGCAGGGGATTGGGACCTGCTGCTTTATAATGTGTTCAGGGATGTCTTCACTGACTTGGTGACATTTGAGCAGAAACACAAATGGTGTAAGCATAGTCAGCTTGTGTGTGTGCATGTGTTGGGGTGGGACAGTGCCCATACTTTTTTAAAAGTAGGCTCCAATAAGAGACTGTTGAGAACTGAGAGCAAACTGAGGGTTGATGGGGGGTGGGAGGGAGGAGAGGGTGGGTGATGGGTATTGAGGAGGGCACCTTTTGGGATGAGCACTGGGTGTTGTATGGAAACCAATTTGACAATAAATTTCATATATAAATAAAAAAAATATAATACAATAGAGTACAAACTAAAACAACAAAATACTATTTAATAGTTAGGTCAAACTTTCCTTGGGGAAAATTTGATGATACATATTGCCAGTTTAAAAATGTCTATCATCTGAGCACTGGGTATTGTATGGAGAAACCAATCTGACAATAAATTTCATAGTAAAAAATAAAAATTAAACAAAATTTAAAAAATAAAAAATAAAAAATAAATAAATAAAAGTAGGCTCCATGCTAAGCATGGAGCCCAACATGGGACTTGAACTCATGACCCCAAGATGGGGACCTGAGGTGAAATCAAGAGTCAGCCACTTAACCAACTGGGCCACACAGGCACCCTAGTGCCCATGCTTTTAAGTAGAGACCCAACCTCCATTCCCCAACCATTGTGAGGATACTGTTCTGGTCCTTCAAGCTCTGTGAAGGAGGAAGGGATTCTAGGATGTTTTCTGTGGCCAGTGAAACTGTGGGAACAGACCCAGAGCGTTCAGTCTTAACTTTGCAACTGTAGCTGGGTAGCCAAGCCAGTCAGCCACACAGGAATCCGGGGAGATTGTTGGTGGGAAAGAGCCAGGACTAATGAAAGAGGGTATATCTGAGAGAATATATATGTGTAGCTGCTGGCTTCCATCAGTTGTGATACTTTAGATGTGTGTCCCAAGCACTGATTTCTAATTTTTTGATGATAGTACTTTATTATTTATTCATTCATTCATTCATTTATGTAAGTAAACCCTATACCCAACATGGGGCTTGAACTCACGACTGTGAGATCGAGAGTCGCATGCTCTACTGACTGAGCCAGCCAGGCAACCCCTCTAAACTTTTTGATGGTGTATCCGTAGTGGTAAAAATCTTGTTCCTCCCCCATAAGTCTTTGTATTTACTTTTAAATCGTACACATGCACTACTGCATGAATGTAGTACGTACATTGAAACTATGCACAAAACAGAATTAAAAGGATGCTTTTAAAAAAATGAAATATACAATATTTGGAAAATATTTTTATTTTATTTATTAACAGTAAAAAACGTCCTAACTTCTCTCAGTAAAGAAAGATTATTGTTTCCTTTATTGAAAACAATGCAATTCAATACGTTTCAATATTTTGAAAATGTTGGTTTAACACATTATTTGGGGCCACAGAATCACATAGTGATAAATATTTCTCAAGATCGATTCTTAAATTTCTCTCTTCATAGCATGAATTTCTTTTAAAGAGGCAGTCAGGGCCTCATTCATCACTTTAAACACTTACTTTTAACTCAACGAGACCCATTAGGCATGTTCGTTTCTCTCACAATATCAGCTAGGTAGGCGCCGTGACCATCAGGGGTCAGTCACCAAGAGAGAACCCACTGCAGGCTGTTCAAGCAAACAGGAACTGAGTGCAGGGCACTGGGATGCTTGCGGCACTGTGGGAAGGACTGCCGGAGTTTGGGGAAGTTGCCACTAACGTTCAGCAGTTCTAAGCAGTCACTAGAAGGTCGCTGCCGTCACCCAGGTCAGAAGAATGCAGGGCGCCCCCTTTGCTCATCAGAGCTGAGCCGAGTACTGACGCGCCGGCTGACAGGTCACCTAGAGGCTGGGGCGGAGCTTCAGCTCTCCCGGGACCTACCCACTTTGCAAGGTGCTGCCAGAGAAAAAAATAACACCACTTTCTCCTCCCACCTACAAAAATCTCACATGAATACCCTGGCAGAAAGAAATGACATCCAGACCCTGGAAGGCAAAGGAGTTTGGGAGATGTAGTTCCCGTAAGTCCAGTCCCTGTGACACAGAGACAGCATGACACAGAGGGATATGGAAATGAGTGCGGGCTGTCAAAAAACAGACTGCAGACCTCATGGGCAGCACACTCCTGATAGCCTCCTCTCGTCACAGAAAAGGAGAGCAATTGAGAAACACTTCTGTAAATGAAAAATAGCCATTTTTAAGTTTGGCCACTCTGGTAGATACTTTGCAGCAAGCGAATCACTCGGTCTCTTTGTGGCGTACGGGATTTTCATGACTACTTTGCATTACGTAATAGTTTCTTCCATGTAAAGGTATTACTTTTCATCCAAGTAACCTAACTGATGACATCCTGTAGCATATCAGCTCAGTACATTATAATACTCAGGAGCAAATGTGACTGTTAACAGGCGAGCTGACCCGTAGATGCAGGCAGAGAGAGCCGCGATGTATCCCTCTCAACCCCTGCTGCTTGCGGACCTCCTGCCTGAAGGCTTCCTTTCCAGCATGAGATCGGCGGCAGTTCATGCAGCTCTTCCAAGAGATAACAGGACAATTGGCGGTTTTTCTTTGGTTTGGAAAAAAAAAAGTCCAGTCTGTAAAACATTAAAACCCCAGACTTTACCCAATAAGACTCCTCACTGACAAGGTGAGACTGCCGTCGGCTGGAAAATGAGCCTCGAGGGCTGGAGGACCTGGCCAACATCTCGTCTCCATCCCCCTGATCGGCTGGTCACCTCTTCAAAGGCAACCTGTTCCTGGAACAAGCCAGACTTGTGTAAAAAGAAAGTAACTTTGTTTTCTCGTGAATGCCCCGACAAACCTGAGGTCATGGTTTGGTCTCCCGTGTGCCTGGATGAAATTTACAGCTTTTCCAGTCTCTGCAAAGTAACAGGCCAAAGAGTTGTCATCATCATCATTTGAGAAATAAATAGTCTCTTGTTCTGGCTATCAACAAGTCTCTTGGAGTGATCGATCAAAACTTCAAATGTCAGTTAATTTTAAAACTTCTTCCCTTCCCCGGCCCGGAAATCTGAGGGAGAACGGGGGTCACGGTCAGCGTCATTTTGATTTCTCACACAGGACCTCTTCCCACTCGTGGCTGTTCCGGGCCTGCTCTCGTGTGGCCGCAGGGGAAGGAGAGGGGGTAAGTCTCACGTGAGTGGCTGAGTTGTAAGCTGGCGCCGGTGTCCCCTGGGAGTAGAAGAAGCCATGGCTGCTTGTCCCACAGGCGCTTCCTCACGGGTTCTCGAGTCTCCATCCATCACTGGGGATCTCGCACCTGTCGTCCCCCTGTGGGCCATGCCGTCTCTAGTTCCTTAGGGTGCCAGCCCCAGCCCCTCGGTCTCCAGCAGCCTCCCTGCCACTGATGTCATCTCCTCCCTCCAGGTGTTCCCTTTGGCTGGACTCCTTCTTGAAATGGCCAAACCTGCCTGCCTCTCTCAAGAAGCACAGCAAGCCTTCGGGAACCCAGGAACTTGGGGCGTGCAAGCCATTTGGAGCGCAGTCTTCTCTCCTCTTCTGTCTTCTCAAGGAGCTAGCCACCGACAGTTTGTCTTCAGACTTTAGGAAGAAGTCAGACACCAGTCCCTTTGTTCCTGAAACTCCGCAGGCTGTATCAAACTCCCCAGGTGGTCCTCTTGAAGCGCCCCCTCATTTGGCATGAAGCAAAGAGGGAGCACCCCCCACCCTCCCCTGCTTGGGGAGAAGGGGAAACGGCCAAGCATACAGACAGCTACTTCCAAAGAAATCCTCTCACATTCTCTTCCATAGCCTGAGGTGGATGCTGAGCTAATCCTTCCCAGTATTGAGCTAGTGCTTCCCCGGGGGTCCATTTCACAACCTCTTAGGGTGGGTGCATAGGTGATCTGGCTCCTCCTCCCTTTAGAATGTGGACAGATTGGCGCCTATGGTTTTGTTCTCAGCCTTTGGGGTTTCTGGTGAAACTGACACAGAAAGAGTCCCGTTTTAGTAAATGAAGTCACCATTGTCAACCCCTCCTCCTCATGGAACTCCTGTTCTTACATCAGGACACCTGATGCTCTGTAGGTGATCTGCAAGAGTCTGACTTATGAAATGGACTGTGAATGTACAGTTCATATAGAATTAAGTACTAAGTAGCATATATAATTTCATATTCAATATTAATGTTTGCATACTATATATTTACATAGATAATTAGCTTATGTGAATGTACAGTTCATATAGAATTAAATACTAAGTAGCATATCTATTATAATTTCATATTCAATACTAATGTTTGCATATTATATGTTTACACAGAGAGATAATGAGCTTATACAAAATACATACAGGACTTTTGTTTTTGACATTATGAAAGATTAGGCGTGCAGAGAAATCTCTCAATATAAAACGCCTTAAGCACTGAGTGAAATTTTAACAAACACATAAAAACACTTCTTCAGAGCATGACAGAGCTGACAGCAAAGGGAGCCAGAGTAGCCAGAGGTGAGGAAGGAGGAGGAATAGGAAAATGAGCACTGATTTGCCCTGAAGATATCTATCTGTTGATCCCTGGTGGTCTACAGTCGGGATTTCAATTTACTGTAGGCAGAAGGGAAAAAAGGCCTCAGACTAGCATGGTGGGAGTCAGATCAAAAAGTCTTACAAAATGATGGAACCCCTAACATTGGCCTCATTGGTGGGAATGAAAAAAATATCCCTGACTTCACCAAGAAGAGACTTTTCTGCGTGTGTGTGTGTGTGTGTGTGTGTGTTTAAGATTTTATTGTTTACATAATCTCTACATCCAATGTGGGACTCAAACTCACAACCCTAAGTCAGAGAGTAGCATGCTCTACTGACTGAACCAGCCAAGAGCCCTGAGACCCTTCTGTTTTAATCTCAGCTCAGGGTAGGGTAGCAGGGTGGAGAACCTTCTAAAGTTCCTAACTACTAGCAATAACCATTCACATGCATTTGTGGCTGAAATTCATCCTATCTCTGAGGCCCTAAAATCCCTAAGCTAACATTTAGTTTGAAGTGGTCCTGGGTTGGTAATGTTCCTAGGAGCTTGGAAGAAGCAAACTCAAATGCCCTTTAGAGGAACATACTTTATAAAAATCTAGGCCTCGAAGAATGCCCATAGCTGAAGTTATAAAGTGCAGGGATATATACTAAAAAATCACCAAATGTACAGAAATAAGCCACTGTGAGCAAGTTTGCAGAAAATAATGACCCATGTGACTGGACCCACAGTGTGGGTCAAAATCTGACTCTGGTACCTGGGACTTTGCTCTGGGAAATGCTCCTGAGGCTCCCAACCCACTTCTTAAAAGCACATGCTAGGGTGCTTGGCCCCTCCCCTTGGTATATACATCACCAGCTAAAAAACCTGTTTATAAGCCCAGGACAAAACAAGCTCCCAAGTGAAAATCATCAGATATTTGAGGAGTAGAGTCACAACAAAAGAGACAATAACTGGGACGAATCGTGCTAGACAAGCCAGAATGGAACAAGACAAAACAAGAACTTAAAAGAAGCACGGTAAAGATCCTTACTAAGATAGGAGAACAATAATAACAAACAAGCAGTTATAAGAACCAAATGGAAATAGTGGGTATGAAATACGTGATAGGTGAATAAAGCCAAAAGATTGGATAAAAACAAGAATGACTACATAGCTGAAAAATGAATAATGATCCAGATCAGCTCAAGGAATTTTCTCAGAAGGTACTGGAAGGAGATGGAAAATATGAGAGAACATTAAAGAGATGATGATGATGATGATGATGGTGATATGATGTAAATATATGTATGATATATATGTCCCAGAAAGAGAGGAAATAGATTTAGGAAAGGGAATATTTACAGAAATCCTAAGAGCTTTTTTAAAAAAAATTTTAGAGTCTATTTATTTTGAGAGAGAGAGAGAGCACAGATCACAAGTGGGGGAGGAACAGAGAGAGGGGGAGAGAGAGAGAATCCCAAGCAGGCTCCACACTGTCAGCACAGAGCCCGATGTAGGGCTCAAACTCACAAACCATGAGATCACGACCTGAGCTGAAATCAAGAGTCGGTCACTCAACCGACTGATCCACCCAGGCGCCCCAGAACTTTCAAAAATTAAAGATAAAAAAGATTCCAATACAAAGATCTCATGGTGCATCACACAGGGTAAATATGGAAAAACTAAAACTTTGACATGTTCTAGTGAAATTTAAGACCATTCAAGACAAAAATGAAATTCTAAAAGCTAGAGAGGAGGAGCAGCTAGTCCACAAAAAAGTAAGAATTAGATTGACATCGATGTTTCTAACAAACACTGGAGGCAAAACGCAATCAAGTTATGTTTTCTAAGTGATGAAGGAAAATAACCTGGAATATTATATCCAGCTAAACTCTCATTGAAATGTGAGAATGCAAAGATAATATGTTCAGACATGCAAGGCCTCAGAGACTTTACAGCAAACAGTCTCTTTGGGAACTCGCCTCGAAAAAGTACTTCTATACTTAATGTACTAAGCTATATACTATAATTATACTAATATACTAACTGCTTAATAAGCACATGAAAAGATACTCAACACCGTGAGTCATTAGGGAGATGCAAATCAAAAGAATGAGGTACCACTTCATACCTACCAGGATGGCTATCATCAAACAAACAGAAAATATCAAGTGCTGGCAAGGATGCAGAGAAATTTAAGCTCTCACATATTGCTAGTAGGAGTGCAAAATGTTTCAGCTACCGTGGGAAACAGTTTTGTGGTTCCTCAAAAAGTTACGCAGAGTTACCATATGGCCTCTTAGGTACACACCTGAGAGAAGTGAACACATACATCCACACAAAAACCTGTCCAGTGGTCCCCCTTCTCCACAATTTCAGTCACCCACGGTCAACCATGGGCTGGAAGCCGGTGATCTGCCTTCGGACACAGAGTCAGAAGGTGAGGGGTAGTCTAATGCTATGCTACACTGCCTACGTCATTCACCTCACTTCATCTCATCATGCAGGCATTTGGTCATCTCCCGTCACCACAAGAAGGGTGAGGGCGGTGCAATAAGATATTTTGAGAGAGAGCATCTTCACATAACTTTTATTACAGTATATTGTTATAATTGTTCTATTTTTAGTTATTGACAATCTCTTACTGTGCCTAATTTACAAATTCAACTTTATCATCAGTACGTATGCATAGGAAAACACATAGGATCTAGAGGGTTCAGTAGTATCTACAGTTTCAGGCATCCCCTGGGGGTCTCGGAACGTATGCCACTTGGATCAGGGGTGGGGTGGGGGAGTACGGTACCTAAATGTTCATAGCAGCATTATTCGCAATATCCAAAATGTACAAACAGCCTACGTGTCTATCAACTGATAAATGGATAAATTAAAAATGTGATCTAGTCATACAATGGGATATTATTCAGAATATAGATAACTGCGATATCAGGGCAAAACACATCATAAAGAAAAAGGAGGGACATTATATATTGGTGGAAAAAATAGATTAAAGAGATATCACCGTAACGAACATATGTGCACCCAATAAAATTCATGATTCCTTGAAAAATTAGTTAGACTGAAGAAAACTGGCAAGACTGAAGGAGGACAAGGGAGAAGATGCGTATAAAGGAAACAGAATGCAAGAGGAAAACAAAGAAAATGAAGATTATAAGAATGAAAAAATTATGAATACATTGCTCAGAAATTTTCTGGAAGTGCTGATCATGTATCAGGGTTAGGGGGAATGTACTTGCTATCATCCAGTTCACACTTATGATCAGCATTCCCAGAAAATTAGGAATAGAACTTTCTTAACTTCTTAAAATCTATATACCAACGACCTAGAATAAACACCACACTTGAGAAAATTGAGACAAGGAACAAAGGAACAAAGATGTCACTTTCACACTACTGTTTAAATGGTATTAAAGGACCAGTCTAATGCTCTAAGACGAAAGTGAAAGAATTGGGAAGGGAGATTAAACTGTCATTTTGAAAAGGTTATGTATTGATTTCAGTAATTTCGACACCCGACATGGGGCTTGAATTCACAACCCCAAGATCAAGAGTCGCATGCTCTTCAAGTGAACCAGCCAGGCGCCCTGTCATTTTTTGTAGATGATATGATCATCTTCATTGAAAAGCTAATAAAATAATCTGATGAGTTACTGGAATAGGAGAGTTCAGCAAAGTTGCTGGACACAAACTCAACTTTCAGAAATCAACAGCGTTCTGGGGCGCCTGGGTGGCACAGTCGGTTAGGTGTCCGACTTCAGCCAGGTCACGATCTCGCGGTCCGTGAGTTCGAGCCCCGCGTCGGGCTCTGGGCTGATGGCTCAGAGCCTGGAGCCTGTTTCCGATTCTGTGTCTCCCTCTCTCTCTGCCCCTCCCCTGTTCATGCTCTGTCTCTCTCTGTCCCAAAAATAAATAAACGTTGAAAAAAAAAAAAAAAAGAAATCAACAGCGTTCCTCCTTACCCACAAAAACCATGAGAGTATCGAACGGAGAAGAATAGACCACTCCTAAAAGCGACAACTATAAAGTACCTAGAAATCAATACATGAACAATACCTTTACGGAGAAAATGTAAAACTACAAAGCTAATAGAAGAAAGAGCAGGAAGATATATTTGTGACAGAGGGATAGGGAAATATCTCCTAACAAGCGCCTCAACATACATGTAGACAAATAGATCAATTTGACTATTACAAGTTAACATTTTCTGTTCAATTCAGGATGTCCTCCACAAAGTTGAAAGGGGGGTCACAGACTAAAATATCAAGCACACCTACAACTGGTAAGAGAGTATTATCTATAACAAAAGGATACAACGCAATCGAATAATAAGCGGAGATGAACAGGCAATCGGCAGGAGACGGCCTATAGCCTTTCTTGCAATAACAGGGAATTAGAGGCAACCTAGGTATCCACCTCCAGAGGAACGGGTATGTAGAACGTGGTGGATATGTAGTATGG